TATATATATATATTAGCATTATTAATGTTGTTACTGTCACTTTTTATCAGAATAATCTACAAATGGTTTAGAAATTATACTTATTTTCTTCTACTTTAACTTTTCTTGTGCAAAGCTGACCTGAACTTACTGTTTTGCAGAAAATTTGAACCTGGTCTATGATATAACTGTAATTTCCAATTGCTTTACTTTTTTACTCATAATTTTATTTATTTTGAGACCTGAGCTGCATCATTTCTGTAACCTGAATGCCTGAAATGTGCTAATGATCAAATCGTAAGCATATTGTACAATGCTGATTTTCAATGCTGGACCTTCCAACAGGTCTGTGTTCTATGCCATCACTATCTAGAGCAATGTGTGCTTCATGCTGCCACCACTTTATGGTGCTGGAAGAGTCAGTTGGAAATGGCCACAGAGGGATGCACGGTCAACAACAGCGCTTAATCGATGAGCTGCTATCGGCACAAAGATGTCTGAAGAAACATTCACCATATTAAATCACCACCAACAGCTTGTTCCATTGACGCAAGGCATGATGGGTCAATGAATTCAATACATTTATGCTCAGCTTGGAGACAGCCATTCTGCACGGTGAAGAGTTTTGGTGATCATGTGCCGACTGCAACACCACGGTAATGAATAACATTCTGCTGTAGTTGTCATTTTCTCATTTCACACATAAATGTCTACATGCTTGTAGCGTTGATGTGTCATTTTTTACTGGCCTGTTTTTTTTTTTTTTATCATAACCCTTACCTGATAGCTTTAAAGGGATAGTTCACCCAAAAATGAAAATAATTTATTCACCCTAATATCATTCCAATTGTATGAAAACAAAAGGAGAAAAGTTTTTGTAATGTTTTTAAAAGAATGCCATCTCTTATGCTCGCCAAGGCTGCATTTATTTGATCAGAAATACAGCAAAAACTATAATTTTGTGAAATATTACAATTTAAAACACCTGTTTTCTATTTCAGTGTTTTAAAATGTCATTTATTTTTGTGATATTTTTTCAGCATCATTACTCCAGTCTTCAGTGTCACATGATCCTTCAACCGTGATATAAAGTTTTGGTCATACCGCCCAGCACTAATTACAGTAGATCAGAAGTAAATACAGTAGATAGTTTGTCTATTAATAACACTAAATATTATTACAGTCAGTTATTGTTTAATAACAACAACAACAACAATAATAATAATAATAATATATACAGTATATATATTTTTTTTTATTTAATTTTTTTTTTTAATAAGGAGAAATATTAATTAATATTAGGGTTAGGATAGGATTACTCAATATAAATCTAGTATAACACTGTACTAGCACTGGTTACATTGGATTGTGGGTGGTTTGTGAATGTGATGCAGGTTTTTGTACTGAAATGCTGTGAGCATTGATTTATAATACCCACTGTAAATGTTTTGTGACCGTGTTGCTGTGAAGTGGTGCACTATGTGAGTGTGTGTTGGAGAAAAAGAAGAGATCAGTTATGAAATGCATCCATGTCACACAGATGTTAGAGGAATCTGTCCGGCTGGCTTTTACAAAACCATTTATTCCACTTAACAACAGGCTGTGTGCTTTCACTGTGGGCTTTAAAAGCCATTCGCGAAACATGACCTCTGACTTGCATGACATGCCAGATGTGTTATCATGTAGCATGATTGAAGCTCTGGAGAGATTCTTCTCGTATGTTTCATGGTATGTTTTCAGTCCTTTCATATGGAAGAATACTCAGGTGCATCTGTACCGTACTATCAGACTTTTTGTTTGCTCTGCAGGTGAAAGACCCTGCTGTTCAAATGACTGTACACTCCATGTGTCTGTAATGAGTGTGTTATAGTTGTGTCTCACTGGGGTGAAACATACAGTATATATTTAAATTGCCCTTCAAAGGTTTGGGGTAGGTAAGAATTGATGTATTGATCGATTGATTTTAAATGTAGCGTCTCTTATGCTTACCAAAGCTGCATTTATTTGATCAAAAATACAGTAAAACGGTTTGAATATGAAAATATGAAAAACTGAATTTTCAGCATCATAACTCCAGTCTTCAGTGTCACATGATCCTTCAGAAATCATTTATATTTTTTCAGCATCATTACTCCAGTCTTCAGTGTCACATGATCCTTCATTCTAATATGTTGATTTGCTGCTCAATTATTATCAGTTATTATTATTGGTGCATAATTATTAATAATGGTTCTTCTTATTAATGTTGAACGTTTTTGCTGCTTAATATTTTTGTGGAATTTTTAAATGGTAGTGTATCACGATTTCCACAAATATATTAAGCAGAACAATCTGTTTTAAGCATTAATAATCATTGAGCAGCAAATCAGCATATTTGAATGATTTCTGAAGGATCATTAATGCTTAAAACAGATTGTTCTGC